GTTGTAGTGAAGTTCGCAGACAAAGACATCCCAGGAAGTCCGTTCGCAGCCGAGATCTTCCCGAAGGGCACCGATCTAGGCGACGTGAAACGAGAACGCCCGGTCGTAGGCAAACCATGTGATGTCAAACTCGATATCCCGGATGTTGATGTTGAACGTGACTTTGATGACCTCACGGGCACACTGAGGAGGCCTGGAAGCAACAAGGAAGAACCAGTTGAGTTGAGCAAGAATCCTGATGGAACCGTCGGTGTCACGTTTACCCCCTACGAACCAGGTGTGTACCTGTTTGTCCATACTTAGACAGTATAATTGCACTTTACGAATCACGAAGAACTCACTGTTGAGTTTTAACTTAACTTTGAGCTTAAAAGCATGGTTAGATCATACAGAGGTAGTACATAATCTTGAATGTGGGCTGCCTTAAAGTGATCTGATGTTGTACAGAACTCACTGCTGAGTTAAACATGGTTAAAAACCTGCAGCAGACTTGTAACAATGTTATTCCAACAGCTTGTCGACAGGATGTGTTCGCACTGCTTATTCCCAGCTTGTCGTCCTGCAATTCAACAATTTGTCAATAAGTTGTGACTGACAACCTTGTAGCAACTTGATAAAATAACAACATTGTTACAACTTGTTGACAAGCTTGCTGCAAGCCTTTTGCGAACATATCTTATTGACAAGTTGTGAGATTTTTACGAGTGACAGAACAAGGTCTATTCTCGTAAATATTCTTGTAAATTCTCATGTCCATTCCAATTATATTTCCAGGTGAACATTTAATCAGCATCAAGAAAAGAGGCAAACATGTTCAAAACAGTCCATTCAGCGTTATGGTCCAGGCCCCACGTCTTGGCGACCTGTTCTCGTCTGGCCACCCTGCTGAAGTAGACCTCAGCAACGTCAAAGGCTTGAACCCGGAGGACTTCGACAAACTCACGGCGACACTACGCCGACCAAAAAGCAAAGTTGACGAGAGTGTTCGACTTATTAAATACCCTGACGATGCTATAGGCGTTTCATTCGTGCCCCGAGAACCAGGAGAACATTTCTTGACAGTAAAGAAGGATGGTCATCCTATCCCAGGCAGTCCTTTCTCGATCTTAGTTGAATCTGAAGAACCAGTAAATGCCGTCAGTGCTCCAGTAGATGCTGTCCTTGACCTGCCCGGCCTGAACATGCCCGATGATTTCAGGAAACTCAAAGGTATTTCCAGCTCTTACCTTGTACTTTGATTCAGCCAGTGTTATAAGTTGCACCCGTATGACATCTCAGTGAATATATTGCAGTCGAAAAATCGTCTCGTGTTACACACGTAAAAACGCACAAGTTGTTACAAATCTGTCCACAAGCTGTCGACGAGTTGTGTTCGCACTGCTTGTACACAAGGTTGTAACAATATTGTTATATCATGACTGTATCAGACTTGTTGGAACAACCTTGCTACAAGTGATATTAACGAGATTCTTATATAATACAAGCTGTTAACGACTTGTAACAAGCTTGATGCCATTATCAGACTTGTTACAAGTTTATTCTAACAAGTCTGATACAACAAGAATAACATGATATAACAAGAATATTACAAGGTTGACGACACAAGGTTGTCACAATATTGTTATATCATGATTGTATCGAACTTGTTGGGACAACCTTGCTACAAGTCTGATAATATCAACAAGCTTGTTACAAGCTGTTAGCAACTTGTTCCATACTCGTTGACAACTTGGGACAAGCAGTGCGAACACAACCTGTTGACGGCTTCATGGCAGACTTGCTACAAGATGTGAGATTTTTACGCGTGTAGGTATTAACTCATAATTTCATTCCTAACGTGTCATGTTCTTGTTAATTCCAGGTACCCTCAAACGTCCTTCCTCAAACGAAGAAGAACCCTTACAGCTCGTGCTCAACTCGGATAATTCCCTATCAGTGTCATTCATCCCTCACGAAACTGGCAAACATTTAGTTGGTGTGAAGAAATTCAACCGCCATGTCAACGGTAGCCCAATCCCTGTGATGGTGACATCCCCTGAACCTGTGAACCGTTCTGGAGTGCCCTGTGGAGTGGGACTCGAGGACATCCCCGTTGAAGACCTACCAAAGCTTGAAGCCGGACTCCAACGTCCCGGATCCAATGTCGAAGAACCAATAAGAATCAAGCAAAACTCCGACAATACGCTATCCGCGTCCTTCGTACCTCATGAGGAAGGCCCACACAAGCTTCATGTACGCAAGGACAAGAAGCCCTTGCCACAGAGCCCGTACATTGTGGATGTCCTGGGTAAAGACAAGGTCGAAGAGGTTCATCCCGTTGGACGAACGTGCGATGTCGGATTGGATATTCCTGGCTTGGTTCTTCCCGAAGATTTTGATAAACTTGAAGCGACGATCCAGAGGCCGAATAGCGACAAAGAGGAACCATTGAATCTTGAATTATATCCCGATAATACTCTTGGTAAGTCAAAATTGTTACTTGCCCACGTCAAAACGCACAAGTTTTTACAGACCTGCAAACAAGTTGTTATAAATCTGTTCACAAGCTGTCGGCAAGTTGTGTTCACACTGCTTGTTCCCAGTTGTTGTAACAAGTTTGAAACAAGCTCTTAACAACTTGGAACAAGCTTGATGGCATTATCAGACTTGTTACAAGGTTGTTCTAACAAGTCTGATACAGTCATGATATAACAAGAATGTTACAAGTTTGACGACACAAGCTTGTAACAATGTTATTATATCATGACTGTGTCGGACTTGTTGGAATAACCTTGCAACAAGTCTGATAATATCAACGAGGTTGTTACAATTGTCATAAGTTGTTCCATACTTGTTGACAAATTGGGACAAGCAGTGCGAACACAAATTATTAACAGCTCGTTGACAGACTTGTTACAAGATGTGAGATTTTCTGAATCCTACCAAAATTTGTTTCTTAAATAATTTGTAACTTTTCAGGCATTTCCTTCGTGCCGTTGGAACCAGGCGAGCATCTGCTCCGTGTGAAGAAATCTGGTGAGGACGTTCCCGGCAGTCCTTTCGCCGTCATGGTGGAAGCCGCTGAAGCACCGAACGCGGTCGGCAGACCATGTGACCTCCAGCTTGACATTCCCGAACTAAACCTGCCCGACGACCTACCGAAATTGAAGTCCACATTACGACGACCTGGTTCAGATGTAGAGGAGCCAATCAAATTGAAAGTTTTGTCTGATAACACCCTCAGCGCTTCGTTCGTTCCCAAATCTCCTGGTGAACACTTGATCACGGTGAAGAAGAACAACCGTCACGTGACCGGAAGTCCATTCCCTGTCATGGTAACCGCTTCCGAGCCTGCAAACAGGTACATATAAAAATTACTGATCTTGTGGATAGCACATCCTTTTGAATTTATGTATGACAAAAATCGGCTTGATTTGTGCATGGCAGATATGTAATAATAAGATTAGAATCTTTTGTATGTTACGTAACACGCGCTCAAAACTAACGAATATACTTTTCAACTTGGTTACGACTATATTCAATTTTTTAAATTTTTGATACGTTTCTTAAGCGACAAACAAACTCAAAAAGTATGTTTAGTGCTTTATCGATAAAATAGTACTAAAATGAAGAGATTTTAGATGGCACGCCAAAGAGAAAACGATGTCTGAAGTTCAGTAAGTTTTGCTTATATTGCTGTATAAATTTGGCGTCCGTTTTACAGCATCAATGATAATTGCATTTAAATTGACGATATGTTTTTAACTATTATTTTGTGTTTCTCAACCGCCAGATACATTTAAGGTTACAGAACACCTTTGAGTGTTAATTTTGCCTAAAATTTTTCTATTGGTTCCATGAAAGCATTAGACTAGTTCTACTATGTGACAATGTTTGGACGAAAAATGTTGAAAACTCGCAGAGTTATTTAATAAAATACATTTCGCGTGCAATAAGAAAAACATTGAAAATGTAATATTCAAATTCAATTTTCTCGCGAAGAATTTTACGGCAATTACTGATTTTTAAACGAGTTGTGCTCCTGCGGGTTTTAATTCTTACATTATTTTATTGTTTGTCAATTTTACAACTTTATCATATTTTGCATGCACTGGCTAACATTTGGTGAAAATTTGATGAAAATCGGACTGATTTTGAGCGCGCAGTAGCGATTTTCCACAAAACGCCAAAAAGGGCGTCCTGTAACCTTAAAAAGGTTGCTAACTGTGTAAGCTACAAAATAAAGCTAAAACAAAGTAATTTTGAGAGGAACGCCAAAAAGATTTCATGTTTTGAAAACTTTTCATTGCAAATACACGACATAGAAAAAATGCCTCATAATAATTCACTTTTATAATTCTCAACAGAGTTGGCCAGCCTGTCGGTGTTGGGCTTGAAGAAATCCCCGTCGAAGATCTACCCCGACTCGAGGCAGGAATACAGAGACCTGGATCCGAAGTTGAAGAGCCAGTCAGAATCAAGCAAAATTCCGACGATACCTTGTCAGCGCAGTTTATTCCACACGAGGAAGGAGTTCATAAACTTCATGTGAGAAAGGACCATAAGCCTCTGCCGGAGAGTCCGTATTTGATCAATGTTCTTGGAAAAGATGTTGTGGAAGAGGTAATGTTTTAGTAGGTTTGTTCAGAGGAATGGGTGACAGATGTGGTTAGAGCGCTGTCTCTTACTGCTGAGTCAAGCTCTGCTACTGTAGGTAGAGGGTAGGGTATTACTTTAGGAAAGCAAGCTAAGGATGACAAATGTGGTTAGAGCGCTGTCTCTTACTAACTAAGCCTGCCGGTTAAGCTTACTAGTTCCTTCGATATAGCATTGGACTAGTATTCCAAAGGTCGTGGGTTCGATTCCCACCGTGGTCAGGCAAACTTTTCAGCTTGCCCGGTGTGGATGCACACTCAGAGTAACACCACAGACATACTACATATACCGTCGACTGCTGCTTTGAACACACCAATACAACCATCATAACTGTTACACAACCGTTGTAGGTGCACCCAGTTGGAAGAACATGTGACGTAGGTCTGGATATACCTGGTGTGGTATTACCAGATGATTTCAAGAAACTGTCAGGAACATTGCAGAGACCACGAAGCAAGAAAGAAGAACCTGTGAGTCTGGAACTGAACCCCGACAACACCTTAGGTATGTTGTGGAATATTTTGTGTGATTGTTCCGAAAAGATTTTGCCGTCATTTCCAAATTTTAAATGTATTGAAACTTTGTCCATACCACTTCGTACACACGTAAAACTTCTCATCTTGTCAACAAGATATGTCTGTAACAAACTCGACGAAAAATGTTATCAAGTTGCTACAAGATTGTTGCTCACAACTTGTTGTCAGGGGTGATAAAAAATTGTTGCAACAACTTTGTAACACTTGTGTTATGAGCCTTGAAACAAGTCTGCCGGAACCTGGTAACTACCTGTTAACATGCTGGGATGAATAAGAACACAGCTTGATATCAGCTTGTTCAAAAAGGTTGCAGGCTCGTTTTACGTGTGTACTGTGGAAGGTTTGGAGAAAACCAACGGTCCCAAAATTCTAATAATTTACCAACGTTGATTAACTAACAATGATGATTTACTAACATAAAAACATTGATTTACTAAAACCATTGATTTACTAACAAAAACATTGATTCACTAACAAAAACATTGATTCACTAACAAAAACATTGATTTACTAACAAAAACATTGATTTACTAAAAAATATTGATTTACTAACAAAAACATTGATCACTAACAAAACAACAGCAACAATTCATTATTTTGTCATGAAACTAACATTGCTTACAAAAACATTTTACATAACACAACAAATGCTCATTTATACATATTTTGTCACATGCGCGCTCACTTTTACACAATTATTTGTAGTACACTTGTTCAAGCGTTCTCATTTCGATACATGCATTCTTATTTTCTATCGTGTTGTAAGCAATCTCAAACGTGCGTGCATATTTGCAAACGTGCGTACCTATTTTCAAACGTTCGTACATATTTTCAAACGTTCGGACATATTTTCAAACGTTCGTACATATTTTCAAACGTTCGTACATATTTTCAAACGTCCGTACATTCGAATGAACGTGCGCGCTTATTTCACAAGTTCACATCGCGCGCAAAGCATTGCAAACCACATTGTAGAAACCAATTCGAATTCGCGCAGATTCACTCAAATCGAAGATTCACAACATTAGTTACTGATTATTCTTGCATATTCTTTACTAATAATACAGTTTGCAGATCATATACGCAGCCATTTCAAAGTGCTACTAAATTTACCGTAACACGCGATCTCGTCTAATTAATCAAGCTTACATGTTGATTTTTAAAAGGTAATGTGTTCTAATGGAGATCTGCTAATTATTGTCAATGATCTCAATGATTTATGTTCATTTGTAATGTAATTTTGTTAATTATAAACAAATATGTTGTATTCTATATTTGATTTTACTAATGTGTACTAATGCTTATAATTTTGTAATAATCTTTTTGTGATTTGCTAACGCAAAAAAATGTTGTAAATTTTAATCACTTGTTAAGGAATATTGTATAATGATTGTAATGTACTAATTTATACTAACACTGTAATTTTCTTGATATTTAATAATTTCAATGTACAAATCATACATCAATTTGATTAACTAATTTGTAATTAATACTAATGAATCCTAATATGGTATTAATCTGGAATTTACCAATGTAATTGAATCTAATGAATGAGAAATAATCATCAATATACCCACAGTATCCCGAAGTTCCTACCCCATCTTTGTTATCCATTGTTAACCATTGGCCATTATATGCATTCAGACCATCGTACATACCAATGTGTACCTTGTATACCCCTTACTAACCTTATATACCCTCAATTATCCCCATATCAGGCGTGACATTTGTACCCAAAGAGCCCGGTACCCATTGGGTACGCGTCCGTAAATCTGGAGAGGAAGTCCCCGAAAGTCCCTTCCCGGTCAAGATTGAGCCTGCGGAACCAGAGTATGCGGTTGGCGCTCCTTGTGATGTGCCAATTGATGTAGAAAATTTGAAACCCGAAGACCTGCCGAAACTAACGGCGACCCTGAAGAGACCTGGATCCAACGAGGAAGAACCCGTCCAACCAAAGATCACATCCGATGGAAACCTCAGTGTATCGTTCATTCCTAAATCCCCAGGCGAACACTTGATCACGGTCAAGAAACGTGGCCGTCCCGTACCCGGCAGTCCATTCTCTGTCATGGTCACGGCTCCCGAGCCAACCAACGAGGTCGGTAGACCGTCCAATTGTCCACTTGAGAATATTCCGGCGAAAGATCTTCCAAAACTTGACGCAGGGTTGCTTCGACCTGGTTCCACAGTTGAGGAACCTGTGACCATCAAAAAGACATCCGATGATAATCTTTATGCGCTTTTCATTCCACACGAAGAAGGACCACACAAAATCAATGTTCGCAAAGATGGCAAACCTGTTCCAGACAGTCCGTATGCCGTGGACGTCGTTCCTAAAAAGGAACAGAAGCCTGTGGAAGAAGTGTACCCGGTTGGCCGACCTTGCGATGTTGGCCTGGACGTTCCAAGTGTGAACCTACCAGATGACTTCAAGAAATTAACTGGAACATTACAGAGACCGAACAGCAAGAAGGAAGAACCTGTGAACTTGGAGCTCAATCCTGATAACACATTGGGTAAGATTTTGAGAGTGTATGTAAGTTGAAGGTAGTTGGTGAAGTTCTAAATCACACACACGTAGAGGTCCAGTTTAGCTTGTAGGATTTTTCATTTTTCAGAAGATTAGTGGGAAGCGTTTCTTATAACCTCCTGACGAAAGGGCTTTGCCTGAAATGTCGAAATGTTTTTTTTAATTGTTTTTAGATAGTTCAGACACACACAGACCTTAGGGTTTTGTCGATGGTATGGAGGGATGATTTTGTCGTATTGAAATAGGTCACGGTGCATGATTTAGCAAAATTTCGTGTACTTTTATAATGCAAATTTCAAAGTCATTGTGTATTGTCTATTGAGTTTCTATTGCCCAATTGATGGGGGATCCGAGGTACCTACGAATTTAACGTCCTTATCTGAGAAGACGCGAAAGTCTAACCATTTATTGATGTCAATGTAAAGGTAGCACTTTCTTCTCAATTATTTTAAGACCTTGAGTAGAGGTCCAACCAAGAAGTGAACCCGGGTCGCCCAGCTGGGTGGTGAAACGCAAAGTATTCAAGGTGGTGAAAAGCAAAGCATTGAAAGCAAAAGGCAGTTTAAAAAAACCTGCTTGTAATTTTGTCAAAGTTATCATGGATCTGATCGACATCATTTTAACGCTATTAATGGTTGTTTAACTTTTCACATATGACTTATTTCAATGCATCAAAATCATCCACTCCAATCAATCATCTGGCATTAGAAAGAAGAGTTGAGATAGTAAAGTTTTTATCAGAGTTTAGTTATTAATGGGAAAGGGTTGGCACACATCCAAAACTAGTCTTATGGAAATGAATCGGCTGAAACTTGTTTATGCCCGTTGTCGCCCACACATCTCCCATATACAGCTGAAACGCTAGTAACTTTCCTTGTATGGTAACAAGGCACGTGAGTTCTCCGCAAATGTAGGCCTGTTTCAAACGTCACGCTTCTCATGTGCCGAACGCATTAAAAACAATAGATAATCACTGAAATGCCTCGTTATCTAATGTTTCAAATGCGTTCGTCACATGAGAAGCGCGACGTTTGAAACAGGCCTAAGTTTGTTGACAACGGGTTTAAGTCTAGGGTTCTATGTTATTCTAGTAAATGCACCGTATTTGCACCGTAGTGATGTAAGAGATATAGCTATGTTTTAATCGCACAAAATTTACTAAAATAAATGCAATGTTCAGGATACTGTTCACGACAAACAGAACTGAACTGCAGATAAAGTTAAATCAATCTGCTAGGGCGCACATTATTCAGATAAAATCCACGAAGTGCGCGTGCTATCGCATAAAACTGTAATTGTAAAGCCTCGAGAATGTCACCAAAACCAAATCAAATTTCTAAAGAAGAAATCAAGTGATGCACTTAAATCGTATCTCGCTATTCTCGCATATTTGCGACCTCTCTACCATGCGTTCGCTGGCTGGCAGGTAAACCAGCGTGAAGTAGCTGTTATATTCGCACCAATATTTAATCATACTTGCACCATTTCACGTGGTACGGTTATACCATTATACTTGCACCAATGCATCATTGCTATACGCATGGCGATACTACCATTACTATACCATCGCTGCTTAAAATGTACTTGCACAATTTTATCATCGTATACGTGCGAAAATGTATCATTCCTTGATACATGCGTTTATGGTTTCACGTACGAGATATGCACCATGTATATACGGTCGGAAATGTACGTACGGTTTAAACAGGGTGTTAGCTAGCCCATATAATGCCTGTTTGACGGACTCTTCCCAATTGAAGTCGCTAAGGGGCTTTCCCAACTGGGTGAAGATTTTCATTTTTTCTGATGAGAAAGTGCATTGCGTTTGATTTTATATTGTATCAAAGAACGTTTTATTTACTTTTTCCCATTAACTATTTTCTCAAAATGTATCGCGTTTCATTCATATTGGATGTGTATTCACTGAAATGAAATGTACAAAACAAAGTGTAATCGGTGTGCATCCGTGTTGATGCATTCACCGGATATGAATATACAAAATGAAATGCAATCGGGTGCATTTTTCAGTGTTCATTCACCGGAAATGAAATGTACAAAACCAAGCTACCGTTGTTTGGAAAACAACTCTATTTATTCCTACACAAGGACGTTGATCGGTCAAAAAAACTTTCCCAATTTACCGGACAAAACTTTTTTTCTGGCTAACACCCTGGGTTATATTTGCACAAATATACTACTATGGTCCAAAGTTAAAAACATGCAGCAACGCTTCTTTCAAGGCCTTCGTCGGTAACAGCACAATTGAGTGCAGACGAAGCTACCCTGTTTTAAATAGAAGTTTCGTTCGTGCATTTTATATCATTATGGTATGCCACTAAACTTTCACCCATATTTCATTGTCCATGGGCGAGCATATAGAACACCATTAAACTTGCACCTATAATCACTGTTATATATTTTAATTCAGTATATGTGCATACCATCACATTTGATCCAGATTATCATGATTGTTAAGACTGATTTTCACTATCAAAGTTTCTGTGAGTAGGAATTTTGCATGGGTAAATTCTAAGTTTTGAAGGATTTGTAAGAAATGTTTGAGCTAGGGAACTGAATCAGTGTTTAACACCGATTCAGTTTCCTCAAACATTTCTTACAAATCCTTCAAAACTTAGAATTCATCTATGCAAAATTCCTACCCACAGAAACTTTGATAGTGCAAACCAGGCTGTATGGTAGGCTATATCACTAGAATGTCGTCCATGTCTCTGTGGCGTGCGCCAATCTATAAGCGGTGTATTCAAACCGTCATGCTTGTGCATCAAATCACTGGTATATATTTCGCCACTGTACTTGAATGTTCGTATAATATACGTGACCAGTTCATCGTTGTTGCGGTATTGTTAACGAGCACCAATGTATCAATTTACTATACTTGCACCAAATAATGTTTATCGTTTTGACGTACGTTCCGTTACAATCGCGCCATCCTGCTACTGTATGTAAGCTGTGTACCATTATATATGCACCAATAGACAATTCCCATTATAGACTAATTTTAAAACTAGGCAAGGAGATGCAAATAAATCACCACAGCTAGAAAGAGCATACTAAAATGAGTAAAATATAGCCTTGCAAATTTTGTATTTTGTATTGCGTGCGGAAATTGCTACCATTTTCTGCGCAAATGTGGTAGCAATTTCCGCACGCAACACAAAATTTGCGAACTTTGCAAGACTATATTTTCCGCATTTACAACATTTCGCAACCAAACTTTGCAATTTTACTAATTTTAGTATGCTCTTTCCAGGAATATACTATTTTTTGACAAGATAAAAATAGTCTATGGTGGGAATTGCCTATTCACCGTGTCTGCCTAGATATGCTATGATCTTGCACCATTATTGCACAGCTAACCATTCTTTGGCTCTTTTTTATACAAAATTATATTCGCACCAATATACTTGCACTGTACGTGTTCGGAATACATACCACTGCACTCGTGCAGAATATATCGGAATGCTGGTATAAAATTCACCATTATACACGCACCATATAAACACCATACTTGTGTGAAATACTGATGAACGCTCACCTTTATACTTGCACCAATTCTATCCAATATACGTGCACAATATATCACAATTATACATGCACTGTTCTTAAAATGGGTGCCAGGGTTTCACTAAGAACTATCGTGCAGGAAGTACTGATGAACAGTCGCCATTATACTTGCACCAATATAATCCAATATACGTGCACAAATATATCACTATATTATTAAGGTCCATTTCCCTTGGGAACATTTTCCGCAGAAAGAAAATTTTGTAAAAAATGTTATTGGCCGACATAAATTTTCCGTTGGAAAAGAAAACTTTGAAGTTAAAAATTTTCAGCTTTTTACAACGATATTTTTGGAAAATTTTCTGTCTGTGGAAAATGTTCTTGAAGAGGAAATGGTCCTTCATACATCCCCCTGTTCTTATCCAGTCAGTGGGTTCCACTAAGCACTATCGTGCAGTAGATCGTGGTCAGTTAACCTGCAGTTATCAGAGTGAGAAAGTAATGTTAACAAAGATAAAGTTTAATTAATTGTTTCTATACCTACAAGTTGACTACAATCGGCTGCACGATGAAGCTTACTAAAATCAACCAATAGAGCGTTTGCACATGACGTCACAGCCGCCATGTTGGTGTTCCAATTCAAAATAATTTTAATTAGACTCTTGTCAGGAACATCAACATGGCCGCCATGGCTTTTGTTGAGTTGGTCCCTGGGGAATGAGTGCAAACCCTCTATAGACAAATTTCGTTGTTTACATCGTTACTACCTAATTCACAACACACAGGCCTATTTACTATTATTCTAGTCTACAGAAGCATAAAATAGAACAAAAGTAACTAAGCATTAGAGTTATGTATAAGAGTTGCTCACTCATGTAGATAATTCTAGGGCTTAGTTACCTTCGTTCTATTCTGTGCTTCTGCATACTAGAACATTAGTTGACTAGGCATGTGAGTTCCCTGTTGTGAAATGTGTATAAACAAACATTAGCAAGATTTTTCTATTACTATCAAATTTGTAAGAAATACACTACTGTATAAAGTTGTCCCAATTCACCAGTATTTGTACGTACCTAATTTACCCTACTTACCACCTTACTGCTACCATACTAAGATCCCCTTTATCAATTTCTATCCATAGGTGTCTCCTTCGTTCCCAAGGAACCTGGTGAGCATCTGATCCGTGTGAAGAAATCTGGTAAGGAGGTCCCGGAGAGTCCATTCTCCGTCATGGTAGAGCCCGCGCAACCCAAGTATGCGGTTGGCGCACCTTGTGATGTGCCAATTGATACAGGTGACATTAAACCGGAGGATCTGCCTAAACTAACAGCCACTCTAAAGAGACCTGGTTCCAATGTGGAAGAGCCTGTCGAACCGAAGATACTATCAGACGGTAGCCTGAGTGTATCTTTCGTTCCCAAATCCCCTGGCGAACACTTGATCACGGTCAAGAAACGTGGCCGTCCAATACCCGGCAGTCCATTCTCTGTCATGATCACGGCTCCCGAGCCAACCAACGAGGTAGATAGACCGTCCAACCTTCCACTTGAAAATATTCCGGCGAAAGATCTTCCAAAACTTGACGCAGGTTTGCTTCGACCTGGATCTACAGTCGAGGAACCTGTGACCATCAAAAAGACATCGGATGATAATCTTTATGCGCCTTTCATTCCTCATGAAGAAGGACCACACAAAATCAATGTGCGCAAAGATGGCAAACCTGTCCCTGACAGTCCCTATAGTGTCGACGTCGTTCCCAAAGTTGAGGAACAACCTGTAGAAGAGGTGTATCCGATGAACAGACCGTGCGATGTCGGTATGGACATTCCTAGTGTGAACCTCCCAGATGACTTCAAGAAACTAACAGGAACCCTTGAAAGACCCGGAAGCAAGAAGGAAGAACCTGTCACCTTGGAACTCAATCCTGATAATACACTTGGTAGGTAGACTCTTGTTTTCGTGTTTTATATGTAGGTATCGCTGTCATCTTGGTTATCATAATTTTGCACACGATCGTCATCATTTGTATCATGATCACGGCAAACATAATTATTTTGATCATCGTTATCATTCGGATCATGATGACGATACATGTCATTAGAGAGTTTAAGCTTCGCGTTATACGCCAAACGGAAAACGCCAAGCAAAGAAAAATTTTACGGTATCAGGCAATAAAGAGTAAATAAACTTGCTGTTTTAAAACTGAAATACATCATTATTCTTTCGACGCAAGAAAGAAAATATGAAACGAAAACGTTCAAGGAAAATTTTGCCAAGAAAGTTCGAACCTGCCGTTTACCGTTCCCGGAAACGTGAAGCTTCAACTCCCCATTATCATCGCTATCACATCAACTTCATGATTATTATCATCATCATCATTCGCCATTATCATGATCGTCATTACCCTCATCACCCCATTATTATCATTGTTCTTATAATCGTCATCAATTAAATCACCATTGGGATTATTATAATTACCTTTATTATCATCTTTGTGATCATCGTCGTCATCGCAAAAAATTACCCGAGCATCGGCACGAGTAGAATAACTGTTTTATTATATAGACAGACTCTTCAGTATCACAATATTTTGACAGTTTGGCAATCCACACAACGTAGCCTCAGTACTTCGAAAATTGCTAAAACTTGAAATCTTTTATATATTTAATATTTGTTAGACAAAACAAGTGCTTGTTGACTTTACTTTTGTATAAAGAGTTTTTGATTTTAAAGCGGTTTTGTCAAAAATTATATTCTAATTTATGTTCATGTTTTTATCTTCGCTCTTTCGGCGTTATTTTTTTCAAAAATATATTTTTTAACCTGTTTAAATATAAAAAATGTATTTGCTAACCTGTAAACAGTTGCCGGGAGTTTTTTCATTGTGTTTTTATTGCCGTTAAGGCTATAACAGGGAATAACTTGCTGTTTTCTCGTTCGCAAACCTCTGGTAATTCTTGCGCTGCCATCTTGTTTTCTCCACTAGCAGATATGAGCTATTACCATTTTTGCACAAGTGAATATAACAAATCCTACAAGTTGATTGGTCAAATTTGACGTATTAAGCTGTTACATTAACTTATAGGTGAATATAACAAAACCGAAATTTTCAAAATGGTGGCTAGCCGTTTTGTGGAAGTTACCGATAAAGAAATAAGCGGAATTAAAATAAATTCAGTCCCAAAAAAAAAACACAAAAGACTTGTGTAAAAATACTAAAAAAATTATTCACCTCAGGCTCGGTGATTATCGGGGAATATTCACCTCGACTTCGTCTCGGCGAATATACCCCGATGTTCACCTCGCCTTCGGCGAATAATTGTTAAATATTCTGCTAGTAGAGAGCCAATCAGATTACAGAATAGCTTATATCCGGTAGCTGTTTATATAATAATCATTATTACCACGCCGATATCTCCTGACATTTGTGTTGTAACAAAGCTGAGTCTTCATGACGTTATTTCTTCCAAACTTGTTCCAGTATATAAAGTTGGTTTATATTACCTTACGTATATTACCTTACGTTAAGTCTTACTCTTTGCTTTCTTACTTTTCCCAGGCGTCACCTTTGTACCCAAAGGTCCAGGCGAGCATTTGATCCATATCAAGAAGTCTGGAAAGGAGATACCAGAAAGTCCCATATCTGTCATGATCGAACCCGCTGAACCAGAGAACGCAGTCGGCAGTCCTTGCGATGTTCCTTTGGACATCCCAGACCTAAACCTCCCAGAGGATCTACCTAAACTAACGGCCACACTGAAGAGACCTGGATCGAATGTGGAAGAACCTGTAGAGCCTAAGGTAACATCAGATGGAAACCTCAGTGTATCATTCGTTCCCAAATCCCCTGGCGAACACTTGATCACGATCAAGAAACGTAACCGCCCGGTACCTGGTAGTCCCTTCTCCGTCATGATCACGGCTCCCGAGCCCAAATGCGAGATCGGTAAACCTAGCAACGTTCCACTTGAAAATATTCCAGCGAAAGATCTTCCAAAACTTGACGCAGGATTACTCCGACCAGGATCCACAGTTGAGGAACCTGTGCCTATCAAAAAGACATCAGATGATAATATTTATATACCTTTCATTCCGCATGAAGAAGGACCACATAAAATCAATGTGCGCAAAGATGGCAAACCTGTTCCAGACAGCCCCTACATTGTTGACGTGCTTCCCAAAGTTGAGGAACAACCTGTAGAAGAGGTGTACCCGATGAACAGACCGTGCGATGTCGGTATGGACATTCCTAGTGTGAACCTCCCAGATGACTTCAAGAAACTAACAGGAACCCTTGAAAGACCTGGAAGCAAGAAGGAAGAACCTGTAACCTTGGAACTCAATCCTGATAATACACTTGGTAGGTAGACTCTTGTTTTCGTGCTTTATGTAGTTATCGCTGTCATCTTGGTTATGTACTGTTTAAAACATGAAGCTTTATCAGACATAAAGACGCGAGGCGAAGCCGGGTATCTTTAGGTCTGATAAAACACGCACTGCGAATGTTTTAAATTACTTCAAAAACGATCGATCTAGTAAGTTCATTGGCGAAGTAATTTTCAAAAAATACGTTGTGTAGGTCGAGAAAACCAAAGTTAAAGTTTATGTAAATCAAGGGAAATCTCTATCACATATAAAGATACGACTTATGATTTTTCTTTTTGTTTTCCTCGTGAATTATTAATGAGTTTTTGAACATCATTTTGAACACGATCGTTATTATTGGTAACATGATCACAGCAAATGTCATCATCATTTTCATCACCACCATCGTATCATTGGAATCATGATGACGATGAACGTCATTATGATCGCTATCATATCCATTTCACGATTACCAACCATCATTATTGGCCATTATCGTGATTGTCATTACTTTCATCACCCCCATTATTTATTATTATCCTTATAACGTCATCAATTAAATCCCTATTGGGATTATTATAATTACCATTGCATCTTTGTGATCATCGTCATCATCACCAACAGCTATACCGAGCTTCAGCACCGTCATTACTATTGCCATACCGATACCCCCTGATATTCTTGTTTGCTTAGTACCGTAAACCTCCAAATATAAGCCCCCCCCCCCGAATATCAGCCCACCACATATACTAACGCTCACCTCATTCCAAATATAAGCC